AGAGAGAGAGAGAGAGAGAGAGAGAGAGAGAGAGAGAGAGAGAGAGAGAGAGAGAGAGAGAGAGAGAGAGAGAGAGAGAGAGAGAGAGAGAAAGGCTATGATCCGGTCCAATTCATGTTGCAAAACTTCAAATGCCATTCACCCCCGTTCAAAAAGAATGAAGGAAAGCAGAAGCAGCAGAAGAAGAACATAAGCTGGAACTGATGTCATTTTCCTCCTCTCGCCATCGCCTCCCTCTCATCGAGTCGTCCTCGTCTCGATTTATGTATAAAAGAATTATTACATGAAAATGAATGAATTAACCGGACTCAATGTCCGAAAGATCCTGTGTACTGCCAGACTTGAACAAGCTCTCATTTAGCTTGTTTCCCCTCATTTCGTACGGCTACTAGCTATCTAGCTCTGGTGGGACATCCACCCACAGCTCCTGATTAATTCATTCATTGTAGCTAGTTAACCATAGCTACTAGCTAGTGCTTCCGTGGAAAAGTCAAATGAGAATGCACTACACTCCCATGCCTCTCTCGTCTCCACTATCACCATAGCTACTCCTCCGGATGAGATCTATGCCCAATTGGTCGCCCATGAGGGCCCTTCTTAATGGCAACAAGGAAGATAAAGATGTAGGTCCACCATAGCCAAAGGTAGGTCTCCTTGTCAGTTCCCACCTCCTTCCTCCTCCTTCAACCTCTCTTTACGTCACAACACAAAGCCATAGAGACGAGGACGACACGATGAAAGGGGGGCGATGGCTGGAAGGTCTTCTCCCTTTACCGCCATAGCCTACCATCTTCGCCCAAATAGAACGCCCGGTCATTGTAGCTGTAACTGTACTGAAAATTGCAGCAAATACGGCTATAATGGTTGGGCGTTCTATTCCGGTGAAGAAGGTAGAGCTTCTCCTACCTCTCCCTGCGACTACCACTCCATAGCCATGGAGGTCTTCGTCCTCACCTTTGCAGCTCCATTTCACCTCCAAGCGCTCTGCCTCACTCTCCCTCTGGGCGGAGCACCCCTGAAAGCGGAGCAGCAGCATGACTGCACGCCGTGCTCGGTGAATGAGCAGACTACTCACTTTGGACAGAACGATATATACTCTTGGTTGCCTGTCCTTCAGTACCTCTTGGCTGGGCACGACCTGCCTTCACAGGCCTCGCTTGGGTGCGCACTGGGGCTACGGGATGTTCCCTCCTTTGGCGGGATCATCATTGCAGACTGATCTGTAACTGCAGGACCTGAATACACCTCTAAAGCTGTCTACATTCGGTCACACTCCTGCACAGCTACCAGACCTTCTAGGCCTACCCGAGTTACTGGAAAATCCCTACCGAGAACCAAACAAATTGCACGTATGTCCCTCGCCGATCCAGTAACTCCTGGACGTCCTTCTACATCTACAGCTAACTTTCAGCCCTGTCCCTGAGCCTAGGCCAATCAACCAACCTATTTCCTTGTCCAAGATGCAGAACCACAGCACGGACAACAAGGTTCGCACACATACACAGACCCAACGGACAAGCATTCGGTATACATACATACATAGCACATACATACATCATTGTCATCATCAGGTCAGCCCGAAAAAACACCGCAAAACAGAATAAAACTCAGAAATCCTAGCAAAGTTTGCAAACAGATGAAAGGCAGAAACTTTCCCAGAGAAATGCCGGTTTCTCGGGAACTGTAGGGGTCATTACAGAGAACCAAAAAAAAAAAAAAAAAACACAAAAGAAACAGGCAAAGGGCCAAACGTCTGCCAAATAATCCGGAAGCGGGATCAAACTTGAGCCTAGTGAAATAGAGAGAGGCACATCAAACGTAAGCGAAAATCGCTCTCTCCATCGACTCCATGGTAATTACTAATTACCTTTTCTTAAGTTTGTGTTTTCGCTTTAGCGCACGTATTACAGGAACGCCTCCAAAATTCTTCCCTGCATCCTCTCCGCGTAGATTTTCATTGATTCGTCCATCGTGGGGCCGTTTGCCAGTGCTTGAGCGCGCTTTCTCCCCGAAGGATGAGTTGACACGTATTGCAAAAGATCAGGTTCATTTGAGAGTTTCGCCATCCTCTCGTAAACCGAAGGGGCAATCCTAGGATCAAACTCTGCCGTCGCCATCAACAGCAACCCTATCCGGTCTGCTTCACTTTCCATCCTGCACAATGGGAATCACAACCACAACATTTCAAAGACAGACAATTTGAAGGAAAACTCAGTCAGTCGAACGACTCGAACCCCCTGTGATACGCCTTCAGGTTCACCAGCGGAGATAACTGCCTTGGGCCTCCTGGCTGGCTGGCTGTGGAAGTAAAGTGTGTTTCGCTTTCGAGCTCGCGACATGGGGTACTGCTCCCCGCATAGAGTAGAAGCCAGAATCTAGCCCATAGCCCTTACACCACAAGTACACGGCCCCAGCCTTGCAGGTCGAAACTTCTTGCCACAAGAAAACTGAGGTGGAAACGTCGAACGCTGGGCCTGCCGTTGATACATTGGATGGGCTGTCGCATTTTCGTTTCGGCCCTCCGGAATTCAAGGTGTCAGGCCCGCAGCCCAGGTCCCCATGTACGGGTGCTTTAACGCTCCAGGCTGAGAGAACGACATATAGGTAGGCAGGTAGTGTGGGAGATATACTGAGAGAAGAATATAGATTTAGTTTAGAAAAAAAAAAAGAAAAAAAAAAAAAAACAAGGACCCTCAGTAGCACACAGGTGCCCATCACGCAGTAGTCATCAGCCCGAGATTCAGGGCTACAGTTGGCGGACTGGAATTTGCTGCTTGCGTGAAAGATCAGTCCCATGCAGGCCCAAACTCATTGCACAGTCAAACACATCATACAACCCACCTGCAGCGAGCCTCTCAGTTCACCACCAGTGAGCGCACACAATCACACACCATGCATGAATAAGATCACACGGAGCTCAGACTGGAGGCCAGAGAATCGAAGATCAACACAATCACAGGTATGTGCAGCTTCAGAATTCCAACAAATTAATAAAAAATTATCATACAAGCAATTAAGAGTTTCAGTCACAGGCGCTCAGCAGCACAAACCCAAGTATTCAGAATCTCCACTCAGTTATGTAACTCTCCCGAAGCTCTTCTCTCTTCTTTCTCGGTCTTCTCTCTGTCTACCATCTCTCTGTGTCTTCTCTCCCTACTTGCATGCACGCACACACCTTCTACTACTCAAGGACCAATTCTGAATACACCCACCGCTAACTCTACTAACCCCCCTGAAGTCTACTACTAACTACCAGCGCTGGGCAGCTGCCGCTGCTCCCTCTCTCTCTCTTTACTAGCGCAGCTCTCTGGCTCAGTGCTCCGCCCCTCACACTAGCGCACAAGTGCACCAGCACTTCCACACTTCATGCGAATGAGCAATCTACCAAATGAGGAGGCTGGCCAGTCCTTATATTGTCTTGGGCCGAGCTTCAGCTCGTGCCACCCTCTGCTTCTTGGGGCTTGACTTGGTTCCCGTACCACATCCCCACGGGCAAGTCCACATCCGCTGAATGTCAGGGCCTGGAACCTTCCCGAATTCTCATTGGCATGCTGTCGCTTGGGCCTTTGAGTCACGACTTCTTGATTATGACACATGGTTTTCGACTGTGGACTGTGTCTCCTGCCTCTGGGACACGACTCTTCCCTATGGGATTGCCCTTTGTTCGTGGGATGTGACTTTCCAACATGGCTTTTCATTACGAGACATGATTTTGCCCCTGAGATGTGACTGTCTGCCGGGTGCCTGTTGGACTTGACTGCTAAGACCGAGTCGGACTGTGACTTTTCGGAAACCGACTGACTCGGCCTTCTTGGCCGGGGCCTCTGACCCTGAAACTCGAATTCGGGGTCTGAACTGTGGAAGGCCTTTCACAACTACCTTCTTCCTCCAAATAGCATGTACGTACGGTCACTCTAGCTGTATGTATGTGGAGCAACGTGCAGTCTAGACGCAGCGAGAATGACCGCGTCCAGCGTCCGCTCTATTCGGGGGGGAAGACGGTAGCAGAGCTGCCGATTCGAACTACATCATGAATGATTCAATGGGAACCAGCTTTCTTTCAAAAAATATATGCGAAAAAAAAAAAAAAACCGAAAAAAGAAACCCACTAGCGCGCTTTCAACCAGCTTCATGGTTAACATGATTGTTTTTTTAAGATACTTGAAATACTTTTGAGTTGACTTCACAGCGTGTAACTGTGCGGATGCTGTTAGACTTCCTGCTTTGGATGTGAGGTTCATCTGGATTGGAACTACTAGACAAATGAAATACGATAATCCTGATTACGTGGGGCTGGTCAGTCCGAACTTCGAAGACGATATCTCAAAAAGGCGCCGCCCTTTTTGAATGCAGAACAAGAGTTTTTCTCTCATGCCAGACTGTTTGCCGGAACACTAGTACTCGCTTCGGGTAATTACCGTCGTCCCCGGAGCCCAACGCACCCTTGATCATGAATGAAATTCCACGAATGCGTCTACGATGTCATAAATGTCCAATACAAGCTAAACTTTCCAATGAATCCAGTCCCATACAGACAATGAAACGAGTGTGTGAGTTGTGGTTGTGTTCAGGGGGAAACGGGTAGTAGTCACAACCGCACCTTTTTTTTTTCTTTCTTCTTTTTTCTTTTTTCTTTTGTTGAAAACAAGGCCAAACTGTGGCTGATGATTCGGTCGCAAGTTGCAGTTACAGTGCACTGTTGCTTGCAAGTTGCAGCTACTGTTATTGCACTATAGCTTGCAAGTTGCAGTTCTATGGCACTACAGCTTGCAGCTGCATTGCATTGTTGCTGGCTGAATATAGCTTCCAAGTTGCAGCTATGTGGCACCATTAGCTTGCAAGTTGCAGCTGTATTATAGCTTGCAAATTGCAGCAATATGGCACTATAGCTTGCAGTGGAAGGATTTCACGGCCACTGCAGCGTTGGACCCAGTTCCAGTCTTGAGTCCCAGTCGTGAGTTCCAGTCCCAGTCCTGAGTCCCAGTCCCAGTCCTGAGTCCCAATTCCAGAGTCCTGAGTCCCAGTCTGATCCCAAGTCCCAAGTCCCAATCTCAGTTCCATTGTCGGCCTCAGCTGCATGTACAACATTCGCCGACGCTCAGGAAGAGTAGGTTTCGCATGTGTACAATATTCATGAACGTTTTCGTAGGTAGAGAGTAGCTTTCGCTTGTATAATGTGCGCAGATGCCTAGGAGGTTAGCTTTAAATACGTAGTGGTGGGAAAGACCCGGTGAATAATGGTTATGGGATAGAAAAAAGTCAGCAAAGGTTGGTTGCTAAGCCAGGTGTCAGTCGGTTAAAATAGCAGCGAAGTCCCATGAAAGCCCACAAACTTCCGGAAGCAACAAACAGACACCAGCAGGGCACCGGACGCATAACCGGTAGCTACAGTCCATGCTGTGCTATTTTGGGATACTGAGGAGGGCGCTGCCCTTAGATACCGCGGCTTGTGCTATTGCTTGGACTCTGGCGGATAGTAGTCTATGGTGCTGCGCACCCTGAGGGAGTCGCCATAGCCAAAGCCAAGTCCAGGGTGAGGTTGCGAGGAGGAGCGAACTTGAGAGGTATTCAGAGAGGGAGACCTTGGTGAGGGGAGAGACGTGGGACTGAAGGAGAAAGTGACCATACGGGAGAGCGTGTGCAGGTGGCCATAGCCGCCCCTCGTACTATGAAGGCAATCCTGTGTAATTGAGTTGATTGTCAGATACTGTCTTTGAGTTACATCTCACCTGTGCTTGATGCATGGGTGTCATCTGGTCTTTGCATGGAGCTAGAGTGTGGTCGATGGTCACTCTCAAAGCAATTTGGTATCAGGGTAGAGTCTCGTTAACCCTTTTCAGCAGGTGCAAGTGAAAGGGGAGGATTGCAGGGAAAATGAGGCCAGTGGGCAAGGAGAGAGGGGAAGGGCAGAGTAAGGTGAGGGTGAGATCAAGGAAGAAGAGGCTGGAGCTGGGGGAAGGAGAGTCACCTGGTGGTCATATTCGGAGTGAGCGAGCATGGAGCTTCTTCATAAAGTCGCTGCAGCGAAGCGGTTCCTTACCCCAGCCTTGCCTTGCATGTTAACATTCCCGCAAGTTTGCTTGCTGGTCTCTTCCTTGTGACTTTGCTACTGGTAGTCATAGGTCTTTAGGTCAGTCAGCAGGTGATGACTGCTGTTGACAGGGGTAGAGTCAGATATGGAAAGCATTGTGCGCAAAGTAGCAGCTTGGGCATGAGCGGCAGGCCCTCGTTAAACAATTTGTCTAGCCCAATGATCGGTACTGACTCGCGTGCAGCAAACCACACTCGCACGAGCACTGGTTGACTAAGTGCTGAGGGGAAGCGGTGACCCTGCCCAGCGACATCGTCCTGTCTGCGGCGTTTTAAATTATTCCCGAGGACTCTGTGGCCTGTCCTTAAACCGGCCATTGGCTGGATACAGGCGATCGCAGGACCGAGTCGTGAAAGTGTTAACCATCGACGATCCGAGTAAAGTCAGCGAATTGTAGGTCAAGTCAACTCCCTTTCAAGTCTCGTAGTGGTAGGTCTAAGTGGTGAGGTAGTGGAACGGACAAAGGTTTGACGGCCTGTTGTCTTACCAACAGCTATGGACGACTACAATACATGCGGAGCATCACCTGCGCGCAGCGTACGTGATGCGGCGCATTTACAACAAAATTTGGAAAAAAAAAAAATCAAAAAGGGTAGGCCGTGGTAACCAAAAGTGTCCTTCCCTTTTGAAAATTGTAAGTGCACAGAATATATTGTCACATAACTACGAACTAAAAGAGCGCACTTTGCGGAACAAAGAATAAAACCAAAAAACGGGCACAGTGATAACATGCAAAAAGAAAAAGAAAAAGAAAAAGAAAAAACAAGGGCAGATTGAAACCATTAAATTTATCATTCTTCTTTGAACTCCACCTCCACTGTGCCTCTCACGTGCAAGGCTCGCCACGTTGATGAAGTTGAG